ACTTGCAGGCATCTAACTTTTCTAAGTGATTTTTAACTTGTTCTTTTGTCCTAACAATATCTTCTGAAATGATAAATAAATCAATAAAAATAAGTTTTCCTGAACACTTGATGTGACCCATACATTCTGCTATGGGCTCATTAATCATTATGTCTTTCAGACTTCTAATGAGCTATTTTGAAGTCATGGCTATATTAATACACCTATTTTAACACTAGCAGTCTACAAACATATTATCTACCTTACACTGCGATGGTGCAATAAAATATTTTGGTGGTCCCGGGTAGGAATCTCAAGTCCCTGCTGCTGTCTGCCCCAGGAGCATTTTGCAGAGGAGTCCTTGACAAGCCAGCCAATGGCCTGGCACTTCAGGGGTTAAATCCCAACCATAGTTCAGAGACAGCTCAGGGAGGAACTATTTGAGAGCTAATTAAGTGCAGCTGATCTAGGGCCCTACCAAATTCCCTGGCATGAAAAACGCCTCACGGACCGTGAAATTTGGTTTTATGTGAGCTTTTACCCTATACTATACAGATTTCACGGGGGAGACCAGCGTTTCTCAAACTGGGGGACCTGACCCAAATGAGGGTCTGGTTTGTTTTTTTTGCAAGGTTATTTTAGGGGGGTTGGTATTGCCACCCTTACTTCTGCGCTGTTTTCAGAGCTGGGCGGCTGGAGAGTGGCAGCTGTTAGCTGGGCACCCAAGTCTGAAGGCAGTGCTCTGCCAGCAGCAACACAGTAGTAAAGGTGGGATTACCATACCATGCCACCCTTACTTCTGCGCTCCTGCCTTCAGAGTTGGGTCAGGACCCCTATAGTTATAACATGGTGCAATTTCAGATTTAAATATCTAGAATCATGAAATTTATGATTTTTAAAATCCTATGACTGTGAAATTGACCAAAATGGACCATGAATTTGGTAGTACCCTACCTACCTTAAAAGAAGGGTTTTACTCATGGGGTAGAAAACTGGGTTTTCCAGGGCAAGGAATTCTAGGGAAAAATATATGCTACATGGTGTGGTTTATAGTTTTTGTCTGTTTCAAATTTTTTTAAAGCTTGCTGGCTGTAAAACTGCATGGAAGGAACGAAGCTTTGCCAAACTGGTGCCAATTTGTATTAACCCAGAACCTCTGCAATAAAACCAATCCAGAGTGAGTGATTTTGTGTTTAAACCTAAGCCTCGAGTGAACTCTCACTTTTATCACTCTGCTCCTCCTCTGGCTACATACACTTCCTAAAAATGTAACACCTTTTTCAAACTACTGTGAAAGAAAAAAGTCTTGGTCATGATGAACAAAGCTCACTGAAGCTGGCACAATCAGACGACTAAAATAAAATGTGAGTACAAACATATCAGTAACAGATTCAAACACTACTTTATTATTCTATTATCTACTTACAGTTTATTACAGGTTAATAAGAAATCATTTCATATTGACCCTTAAATGATTTTAATTGCTTATCAACAAGCTAAACCAGTTTTTAAATTTTATTTTATTGCAAACAGATTCGTATCTCCTGCTTATATAGTCTATGGAAATGTCCAAAATATGAATGAGTATACATAAACAAGTTATGTGTGGGTATCTATAGAAATGAAAGTTAAAAATAGCATTGAAAATAAACTTTACAGTAATGTATGATTATTTGACTGTTTAGGTCAGGTGAATGAAGTGTTATAGGATAATCTAAACGTTAGATTTGAAGGCTGATTTATTTTCAGATAAATGCACCTATCATTGTACAATTAAAAATAAATGTCAGTATTTGGTGCAGATAACTACAGACATCTTTAATGTTTAATGCACTGATAACAACTCCCCCGATTCCCAATAGCACTTTTGCAGCTTCTACTTTACATTATATAATGAGGACATTTTAAGTGACAGTACGTATATGCATACAATATAACAAGTCAGAAACACCACATTTTAAAGTCTGTATATTTTCATATGGTAAAAAATTAAAGCTACATAAACTGATTTTTAGATTATTCTGCAAAGTAGAATCATGTATACTTACATTTTCATAATACTTTGACAAATTTCCATTAAAGCTTTGTTAACAGACAATAGCATGATCACAATGATCCCACTGGCGTTCCAAAATAGTGCAGTTCCTCAATTAAACTTGTTTCCTTTTATACTTGCAAGCCAGTGGGATCAAGACAAACAGGCTAATGCAAGCAAGAAAGTAAACTGTAAGCTTTTATATTAAGCGGTTGAACAAACAATATTAATTATTGTGTACCATACAATGAAAATGATTCTAGTATTTTGCTACTACTCACTGCAGGAATACATGAACTTCAGTAGCTAAGAAGCTTGAAATACTTTCTAAGTCTTCACAAACATTTGGTTGGTGCCTACCAATTCCAATACATTTATAAAAGCAGTTATGGAGATATTTTGTTGTTAAAGCTGCAACAATTTAAACAAGGCAAGTGAAGAAGTTATATAGATTGTTCTTATCTTCTTCTTGAAATTTCTTTCATCAAACAAAAGTCCATAAAATGACCATGTCCCATTAATAATACTCCTTCTAATGTTATTTAGATATAACTTACATTTACATGTGTGTCCTATCTGATCCATTTACAATGAAACTCTTGAGTTTAACATCTGCTGCACTGGACTAGGTTGGCAATAGTAACAAGGGACTGAAACAAAGATGTATCAAGTGTCAATTAATTTTGAGAACATATGCCTTTTTCATTTAGATGGCATATTTTTGCAGATAAATCTAGTACAATTATTTAATTAAAAGTTTTAAATAGATATTTCTGCTCTGACTTAGTAAATGCAAAACATCTCTCTCTCTCCTGAAAATGACATATTTAAAAAAAAACTATTTTGTCCTTTAAACAACTCCCCAAACACAAAGTGTTTCAGCCTGTATAAAATCTCTGTCAATGATTTCTAGGTAAGAGTTGGGCTGTAAGAAGGTTGCAGTAAACTGTTTTGTTAGTAGGCAGCGCAGGAATGAAGCATTTTCAAGATCAAGCAAGAGTCTTCTTATTTAAGGCTGAAGGATGGAAATGAGAAAAAAAATCAAAAAGGATGAGGCTTTACAGAATAAAAAAAGTGAGAGTAATAGTATATAAGCAGAAAATGTATCACACTAATCACTACTATAATAAACAGCACCAAAACATCAGTAGTTTGGGTGAGACTGATAGAGCAAGAGACCTAAATTTCTAATTTAAACATTCTTTAGAATTTTAACATTCAACCACAATTCCTCTGTCAGCTAAAATTTAAGTGGCCAAAACTCAAAAATATTAAAAGAGCCTTCAAAACAGATATTTAAAAATAATAAAAATGGTGTGTTAACAGATGTATGCATAAACCAGACCTATAAATAGCTATTGTATGAAAAATATTTCAGTGCAAAGGCAATTTTAAGATTTCTAAAAAATACATTACAAATAATTTGTTAACTGCACACAGGAAATTTGTCACTACTACTGGTATAAAACTTATACCCATATAAGATTATTTAAAAAATATATACACCAGTGTTTTATGTAGGGGACAGTTCTAACTGACCGACATTCAAGTATGCAATGGCAAATATAAATATATTTATATTTATTAATATTACAGTATGTGACCAATATGATGGCATTGTTTGAAACTGAAAACTGCTACATATTAAATGGTAAAGATGCCCTAATATCATTCTTTAGGGCAATGAATGAGGTTGTCAGACTTTTCTCTTCTTCTCTCTAATCTTTGGTATAATGAAGTTTTCACAATTCACTTTTTAAAAATTCTAGCTGTTTTTCCCAGTGTTTCTTAACAGTAGGTCACTGGTTCTTATGAAGAGTTCATTGGAAATGTTTGTGTGAAACGTTTCCTAGTGAATTGATTTTACTTTTATTTTAAAAAACATGTATTTCTAAGTTATTTTACACAAAATGAAATCCTCCCCTTTCCCCCCTTACCTACAGCATTAAAAAGTCTGCAAACAATGCCTTGGTCAAGTTTTCTAATAAAGGCAGCAGCTCTCATCCCAAAAACTTAGTTTCCATTTAGAAATAAACTTTTAACTAATGGCCTGCCAGAAGCATTCATGGAAATGCTTGTTAATCTGTTATTAACTATGGGTACATTAAAATTGATCAGTGTTAGATTAAATCTTGAAGCATTTTTACACCCCAAATAAAACACTGGACAAAAACCAAGCAAGTACATATCTAAGTAAAACCAGTGCAAGGTAAAATTAATGCTGCAGAGAAATTGGAAGCACAAGCTGGCTGTAATGCTTTAAATAATTCATACATCTTGTAGTCAGACTCATTTCTACCAGAAATATGTTTTAACCCACAGTAATCAGGGCTGGCTCCAGGCACCAGCTTAACAAGCAGGTGCTTGGGGCGGCCAAGGGAGAGGGGCGGCACCTCCGGCAATTCGGGGGCGGCAGGTCCCTCACTCCCTCTAGGAGCGAAGGACCTGCCGCTGAACTGCGGCCGCCAATCGCGGCTTTTTTTTTTTTTTTTTTCGCTTGGGGCGGCAGAAATGCTGGAGCCGGCCCTGATAGTAATAGACACATGCCATCTAGTGGTCATGTCTCAAAAGACTAACAAACGTATACTGGCTTCTTCATAATGAGATACATATAGTGGATCCATTAGCCATTAAGTTAAAATAAGAATCAAAGACCAAAAATGGAGATATTAAAAAAATCCTATTTGAGTAGCATAAAAGATTGGTTATGAACAACTATTTCCTATCATTGACAGGAAAAAGCTTAACCCACCAATACTTTCTAATATGTATACTTTAGAATCATGCACATACACTTTTCCAGAGAGGTAGCTAGGTGATAGGAACACTGGTTAATTTATTCTTAAATTCAGACATTTTAGGCTAAATTCTTAAATTCAGTAACTGAGTAAATATCAATAATGATGGTTTTATGTATTTGACAGCCAGCTTGACTCCATATGGTGTGTCTCTAGTCTAAGCAAAATGTATTTTGTCTACCTTTCTACAGGGGAAACTAACTTAAAACCATACTAGCCCTGATTTGGCCACTTACAAGGAAGTGAATAGTAGAGAGTGTTTCTTGAAAGCAGATTTGCACAGAGGAAACACCAGTTTGTTCTACAGAAAGAGCAAAGAAAGAAAAAAGTACAGAGGAAAATCAGAAGCAGCACTTGTTAAATATTCTTTAAGTGACTTTCACTGGAGTTATCTGAGGTCATTGCTTCTGGCTGAAAATTGAAACTGTTGATCTCAAAATGTAGGTCATTGACTAAAACTATACACTTCAAGTAATACAGAAAATGACTAATGACAACAGAAGCAACAAACGCACAAACGTCTTGACACAGCATGAAGAGAATTTCTAGTGTTATCAGTCTCACAGTACCAGACTGTGCGGATTGTTCATTGCTGCAGCAGTTCAAAACATAAAAAAGGGGCCAACAGGCCTGGAAAGATTCATACTTATAGCTCTTGATCCTATTTGTCTGAACATTATTTCAGACAGGAAAAGCCAAGTGTATTTTAGTACAGTTCTGTGACATGTTTCCTGTTTTTGCAAAAAAAGAAAGAAAAATGCAGTTCTTAAAGGCTTGAATTGGTGATCTGTCATACGGATGTTTCCAAACCTGACCCACTGTAGCAGTATCTTGCACTGGAATTGCAACGGTTATTTGAATAGCCAAAGATAGATGGAAGTATTGAATAATCATTGCCTCTCCAGTGCGTAAACATCCTTTTTTTAGAATGAGAATTAGACCTCCTGGCTGGGGAATTGCTCCTATATTTTGGGTTTTTCAGAGAGGCAAGAGGTGTGAATTCTGAAATGTGGTCCCAACAGTGCCTGGACATAATCTGTCAAGAAAACAAAGAAATAATACACAGTAAGTGGACAATAAAATAGCTAAATATCCTAAAAAAATGTCATTTCAGAGAGGCACTATGCCTTTGGCACACACATACTGCTCACAAGAGCACCATTGTCTGGCTTGTTTGTTTCAATCAAAGGGGCAATCCCAAAGTGATGAGCAATTAACCAATTTCTACATGATTAATTTTACATTAGATTTAGAGATTAGCGAGCCAGCTATTCTTCATACATGAAGTTGATAATGTGCTCATTAAAGAACAGAGTATGGATTAGAAGGATCATTTTCAATTTGAGAATTATTACCAGTTTACATTATATTTTGCTATATTGATTTAAATATCTTTTAATCCTTGACCTTTTATCAGTGGAGCAGGAATTTTTAAAAGGCCAGAATAATTTCATATGTTTTGTCCAGCATTTCCAAAGAGAGAGAATTCTCCTCAACTAGTTTATGTTAATTGATGAGAATGCACAGTGGGGTTAAATGCACTAGCTCTTTACTTCTTCAGATCTTGCTTGGGTTACATATGGATCTATTAAGGCAATTTATACCACACATCACAATATTATCTTAGTCTAATCTTCCATTAACATTTATCTATGCTATAAAATCACCCCATAACCTAGCACAATGGGTAATATCTACCCAGGAAATACTCAAGACTACAATAATAGCAGTATTGCATGACAAGACTGAAGTACATGTGCACTAACTGAGGGGAAATTTGCTTTGGGCCTTCCCAAAGCAGTGGTCTATTCTCCTCTGCAAATGCACATATAACTAATATTTATGGGTTAAAGAAGCTATATGATAGAGAGGAAAATAAACCTTAAGTAATATTCAAGCCAATGCTATCAGTCACTTTCTCATGAGTAATGAATAAACCATTAATAAATTAACAAACCATTAATAAAACCTACCTCCTCTGTTTAAAACAAAAAATGGCAAAAGGAGGTAAAAACATCAATGTTAGTCATTTCACCCCCTTTGTGTTTATAAAAGCTGCCTGAGACATTATTTCTTTCATAACAATCACATCCCTCAAATACTACTTGTATATGCTCAAGGGCAGCAATAAGGGTCACTTTTTAACTCCACAGTATAATCACTCTCTGAAGACAAACCGTGAGACAAATACAGGGAATTATTCAGCAGAGGGGTATTTAATATAGCCCAGAATCTTTTTAACATATATAGACCAAATACAGGCATTAATTAAGAAGGAAAAAAACAGATAAGTATACATTGCATCTTATGGGAAAGCATTTTATAAATGTTTTTAAAGGATTTTAAAAAAAAGTATACAGGAACTATATTTCATATCCCTCAACCCACAAAGCCAGTTACCCTAAATACCTCTAAAAATGATGTGTTCTATACATAAAATGTCATGAGCTCAAGGTCTATTTTGGGATTGTCCAGGGCTAGAAACAAGTTGTGTGTGTCTACAGTGCAAAACTGGGAAACTCCCCTAAGAATGGTATAAAGCGTCTGTTTTTTGCTCTGCAGGGCTACAAGTTATCTAAAAAAACCGCTGCCTCCCCACCCCCCCGCAGCCCACTTCCCTGCATGCCTCCCTTTGGCTCCTCCACACCCCATCACTCTCTTCACACACTGTCACTCTGACCTTCCTCCCCTTGATTACCCACATGGTTGTTTTCTGGTGTCAGGAAATGGTGAGATGACCATGGGAAGAGGTAAAGTGGGAAGCAAGGTGTATTCGTTGGTACAGGTGGGAGTTTGTTTGGGTAAGACAACTGGTATTAATGAGACTGGAGACCCAGGTGCTGAGTCTCAACGTCTTTGTGCTTGAAGAGCTCATGACCCTATGCTGCTTTTTCAGTAGTACCATGGGAAAACACTCTGGCTCTGGGCACACAGGAATTCTGTCCCCACTCCAGGTCCCTGCTTGATACATAGCCCTGGGCCTGGTCTACACTACGATTTTAGGTCGAATTTAGCAGCGTTACCTTGATTTAAACCTGGACCCGTCCACACGACGAAGCCCTTTTTTTCAACTTAAAGGGCTCTTTAAATCGATTTCTTTAATCCACCTCCGACGAGGGGATTAGCACTGAAACCGGCCTTTCCGGGTCAGATTTGGGGTAGTGGGGACAAAATTCGATGGTATTGGCCTCTGGGAGCTATCCCAGAGTGTTCCATTGTGACCGCTCTGGACAGCGCTCTCAACTCAGATGCACTGGCCAGGTAGACAGGAAAAGGCCCGCGAAATTTTGAATTTCCTGTTTGCCCAGCGTGGTGGAGAGCCCAGGTGAACACGCAGAGCTCATCAGTACAGATAACCATGATGGAGTCGCAGGATCGCAAAAGAGCTCCAGCATGGACCAAATGAGAGGTACGGGATCTGCTCACCATATGGGGAGATGAATCAGTGATAGCTGAACTCCGTAGCAGTAAACGAAATGCCAAAACATTAGAAAAAGTCTCAAAGGGCATCAAGGACAGAGGCCATAACAGGGACGCACAGCAGTGCTGCGTGAAAATTAAGGAGCTAAGGCAAGCCTACCACAAAACCAGAGAGGCAAACGTAAGGTCCGGGGCAGAGCCGCAGACATGCTGCTTCTACGCTGAGCTGCATGCCATGCTAGGGGGTGCAGCCACCACTACCCCAACCCTGTGCTTTAACTCCATCAATGGAGAATCACGAAACACGGACGCGGGTTTTGGGGACAAGGAAGATAATGATGAAGACATTGAAGATAGCTCACAGCAAGGAAGCGGAGAAACTGGTTTCCCCAACAGCCAGGATATGTTTTTCACCCTGGGCCTGGAACCAGTTACCCCGAACCCACCCAAGGCGTGCTCCCAGACCCTGAGGGCACACAAGGCACCTCTGGTGAGTGTACCTTTGTAAATATTACACATGGTTTAAAAGCAAGCGTGTTTAATGATTAATTTGCCCTGGCATTCGCGGCCAGTACAGTTACTGGAAAAGTCTGTTAATGTGTATGGGGATGGAGCGGAAATCCTCCAGGGACATCTCCAGAAAGCTCTCCTTCATGTACTCCCAAAGCCTTTGCAAAAAGTTTCTGGGGAGGGCTGCCTTATTCCGTCCTCCATGGTAGGACACTTTACCATGCCAGACCAGTAGCACGTAGTCTGGAATCATTGCATAACAAAGCATGGCAGCGTATGGTCCCGGTGTTTGCTGGCATGCAGACAACATCCATTCCTTATCTCTCTTTGTTATCCTCAGGAGAGTGATATCATTCACGGTCACCTGGTTGAAATAGGGTGATTTTATTAAGGGGACGTTCAGAGGTGCCCGTTCCTGCTCTGCTGAACAGAAATGTTCCCCGCTGTTAGTGATCATCCCAGAGAATTGGGTGTGGGGGGGATGGGAGGGGGGTTAGTTGGGTTTGTGCTGCAGGTTAACCCGGAAACCGCAGCCCCTCCTTTTAAATTGCAAACCCATTTTAAATGGCCAACCCAACGGGTGCTTGGTATGGGAAATGAGGGCGCTACTGTTTGAAACCATTCCCACATGTTAAGAAGGTTAAAAAAGCCAAAAGACTGTGGCTTACCATGGCTGCCTGCGAGCCGAAATCTGTTGCCTGGCACTGCGTGAGTGATCTCTCACACCAAACCGGCAGGCACTCAATATAAGAGGAAAAATGCGACCTTGTAACGAAAGCACATGTGCTGTGTAATGTGAATAGCAAGATTTAACGTGAAAGAGTGTACCCATTGTTCTCTTTAACTACCACCTCTCCCTTCTCCTCCACCAGCTGCAAATGTTTCTCCTTCGCAGAGGCTAGTGAAGATTAGAAGGCGAAAAAGGCGCACTCAGGATGACATGTTCTCGGAGCTCCAGATGTCCTCCCATGCTGACAGAGCACAACAGAATGCGTGGAGGCAGACAATGTCAGAGTGCAGGAAAGCACTATATGAACGCGAGGAGATGTGGCGGGCTGAATCGCGGGCTGAAGAGAGCAAGTGGCGGGCTGAAGAGGATAGGTGGCGTCAGCTTGCTGACAGAAGGCAAGAGTCGATGCTCCGGCTGCTGGAGCATCAAACTGATATGCTCCAGCGTATGGTTGAGCTGCAGAAAAGGCAGCAGGAGCACAGACCGCCGCTACAGCCCCTGTGTAACCAACAGCCTTCCTCCCCAAGTTCCATTGCCTCCTCACCCAGATGCCCAAGAACGCAGTGGGGGGGCCTCCGGCCACCCAGCCACTCCACCCCAGAGGATTGCCCAAGCAACAGAAGGCTGACCTTCAATAAGTTGTAAAGTTTTAAAGTGCAGTGTGTCCTTGTCCTTATCTCCTCCCCCACCCCACCCGGCGCTTCCCTCCTCCTCCACCCCTCCCGGGCTACCTTGGCAGTTATCCCCCTATTTGTGTGATGAATTAATAAAGAATGCATGAATGTGAAGTAACAATGACTTTATTGCCTCTGCAAGCGGTGATCGAAGGGGGGAGGGGAGGGTGGTTAGCTTACAGGGAAGAAGAGTGAACTGGGGGAGGGTCATCAAGGAGAAACAAACATAACTTTCACACCGTAGCCTGGCCAGTCATGAAACTGGTTTTCAAAGCTTCTCTGATGCGCACCATGCCCTGCTGTGCTCTTCTAACCGCCCTGGTGTCTGGCTGCGCGTAATCAGCGGCCAGGCGATTTGCTTCAACCTCCCACCCCGCCATAAATGTCTCCCCCTTACTCTCACAGATATTGTGGAGCATGCAGCAAGCAGTAATAACAATGGGAATATTGGTTTCGCTGAGGTCTATCCGAGTCAGTAAACTGCGCCAGCGTGCTTTTAAACGTCCAAATGCACATTCTACCACCATTCTGCACTTGCTCAGCCTATAGTTGAACAGGTCCTGACTACTGTCCAGGCTGCCTGTGTACGGCTTCATGAGCCATGGCATTAAGGGGTAGGCTGGGTCCCCAAGGATAACTATAGGCATTTCAACATGCCCAATGGTTATTTTCTGGTCTGGGAAGAAAGTCCCTTCCTGCAGC